GAATTCTACGAGACAGACAGCCAAGTTTAATTAGTCTCCGTGCTCTACGCAATCTAATTAAAATTAGATGTTAGATCCGCTCTCATACTTGCTACACTAACATCTAACAACATCCCATAGAGGGTCAGAGGTCAAATTCGGAACAACTCTAGACTTATTGGCTTCGATAACGTCAACAAATATCAGAGGATTTTGCCAGCGACAATTTGATTGATTGATAGATTTTGACCTCTGGCGTGACTCTCTATGGAATGTTGTTAGATGTTGGTGTAGCGAGTATGCGAGCGGATTCAACATCTAATTTTAATTAGATTGAAATGTTATCTACGTGAACTAGCTCTATACTACAGCGATTAACTGACTGGCGCTAACTCAAGAGGTAAATACTGTTATGTTTATGCATTTGTGGAAGCAGATTATGTTCATTATGTCATTTTTAGCTCACCTGAGCCGAAGGCTCAAGTCTGCTTTTCTGATCACATTTTGTCCGGGTCGGTCTGTCCGTCTGTCTGTCTGTATGTAAACTTTTCATATTTTCAACTTCTTTTCAAGAACCGCTGGGCCAATTTCAACCAAACCTGGCACAAAGTATCCTTGGATGAAGGGGATTCCAGTTTGTTCAAATGAAGGGCTATGCCCTCATTCAAGGGGAGATGATTGGGAATTAATGAAAATTTAGTGGCATATTTTAAAAATCTTCTTCTCAAGAACCACTGTGCCAGGAAAGATGAAACTTATGGGAAAACATCCTCACATAGAGTAGATTCAAGTTTGTTCAAATCATGACCCGCGGGGGTAGGGCGGAGCCAAAATGGCCGACCAAATTTTTACATAGAAATATATAGTATAAATTCTTTAAAAAATATTCTTCTCAAGAATGACATAGCCATAATTCATCATATTTATATGAAAGTATGCACAGGTAGTGTAGATTTAAGTTTGTTCAAATCATGACCCCCCGTGTAGGGCGGGGCCCAAATAGCTGACCAAACTTTTACATAGAAATATGTAGGAAAATTATTTAAAAATCTTCTCAAGAATGACAAATCCATAATTCATCATATTTATATGAAGGATGCTAAGGTAGTGTAGATTCAAGTTTGTTCAAATCATGACCCCCGGGGGTAGGGCGGGGCCAAAATGGCTGACCAAAGATTTTTAAAGATAAGTGTAGGAAAATTCTTTAAAAATCATTTTCTAAAAAATAGCAAATCAATGATTGGTCATGGAACTACTTTTGGATTTGAACTTTACAATAAAAAGCCATTTTCTACTTTTTCCTACCCTTAATGCTCAGGTGAGCTATGTGGCCCATGGGCCTCTTGTTATGATAGTATTATTTTTCTAAAGTTTAGTTAAGGGACTCCGACCCTCAGCTAGTTAGGACAACTCTTTAATTTATAACTTTAGTCAAAAAGTCTTTTAATTAAGCTTGAAAATTAAAACTTTTAATGCAACAATTTTCATTATATGCCTCTCAATGTGCTTCAAGGTTTTTTGCACAGCTCCATAAATCACTTCTAATTTCATATCATGATAATAAACATTGTATCTAAAAATGCTTTTTCTGGATAAAAATTTCTACTTTTAATTAGACCTTTATGACTAGTTCAAAGAACCTTGAATCTAAAACTTACCTCACCAAAATCATAAACTACAAAGAGGAACAACTGCAGTACTTTGCCTGTATCCTTTATGAATGAAGTCGAGTGATAAGTAACATAGAAGCTAGTTGAATGAAGCTAAATTATGATCTGGGCCACATAATTTTTTTTTCTTTAAAGTTTGGCAACTTTTGCATATTTTTAAATACATGTATGTGGATAAATTAAAGCATTGAAAAGCTAGAACTAATTAAACTTAAATTCTTTGACTCTGCTGTAGACATCTTGGAGAATTGTCTGTTTATGTTGTGGCACCACCTGAAGTATTATCTTATTCACTGCGTTCCTGTCAATCAGCAGAAATCCGTACCAGAGTCAGACTCAGACATTCACAACTCAGGAGGCTTCAAGGTTATAGTCAGGCTCTTATGTATCTCATGTTTTTTTTATGTGGTACAAACGAGTTTTAATACCTTAATTATGATCTTTTTCTCACAGTGAAATGAGTTTTGTATGCAGGGATATTTCTACCTCCAATTTTAGTTTATACCTTCTTAACAAGTAAAAGATATAAAACAGATCACCAACACTTTGTAAGAATGCAGCAGTAAATTTATTTGGTTGACCGGTTTTGACCAGAGGCGGTCGTCATCAGAATTTAACTTCTTAACAAGTGTGAGAATTTAAGAAAACAGGCACGACTGAGTCTAGGTGAATCCAAAATAAGGCAAAATTTAAAGTGTAAGGGGGCAAAAATAAAACTGAATGGAAATAATTTGGTGTACAATATTTAAATTGTTTATCTCGGTATGTACTTCCAGATAGTGATTTCTGATAAGTTAATCTTTAAATGTTTACAGATTTTACTGGGATTTCTCATTCATCATTTTGAGAATCTGATGCAGACTCTTTTCCAGACATTGACAAACAACTTATGATGGGGGTGACCAGTGAAGATGACGCTGAAACAGACAGCAAACTCAGCTATACATGACTCACACCTCCAAAAGGTACAGAAGATTGACCAGGTAGTGAAAGGACAGATATTCCAAATGTAGAGAAACAAGAGGCCCATGGGCCTTATAGGTCACCTGATCATTATTCAACAACTTTCCAGTGATTGAATTTGATCTATGTTTTAAGCCAGATGCTATGGCATAAAAATTACAATTTGGTCATCATAACTATACACTTAGCAGTTCCTTAGTTTGGTTTCTTAATACCCATAGGCAGGTTAGGGGAACAAAAATACATTTCAACTAATCAGTAATACTCAGCAATAATGAGTAGTGCTGCTACCACACATGAACCCTTGACTCTTAGGCCTAGATCCACACATTGTACAATTTTTGGAAAGGCATTCATGCTTTTCAAATATATTTAATTAATACCAAGGAGCACATTTCAAACAATTCATTCATTTTCAGTATATAAGTACAGCCCCCCCCCACTCCCTCTATGGTACAACTGACCGTGGGGCCTTGAAATTTACAATTCTTGAAGATTAGGGCCCTTGCTCATACTATATAGGTAATTCATCTGCTTAAAACCTAGGTGCAAAGAAGATATTCAAAGATTTAATGTTTTTTTTCACTATACATGTATAATCAATATAGCCCCCCCAACACCAAAACCCCTGACCCTGGTGCCATAATATTCATAATTTTGGTAGAGGCACTCTTGCTCATCAAAACTATGTATTTAGTTAGTTTATATAAAATGTAGGAGCAGAGAAGATTTTCGAAAAATATTCTTGTATTTTCTCCATATAATCAAAAGAGCACCACCCTAACACCAGAACCCCTGACCCTGGGGCCATAAAATTCACAATTTTGGTAGAGGCACTCTTGCTCATTATAACTCTGAACTTAGTTTTTTTAAAACCTAGGAGCAAAGAAGAAGATTTTCAAAGAATTCATGTATTTTCTCAATATAATCAATAGAGCCCCACCCTAACACCAGAACCCCTGACCCTGGGGCCATAAAATTCACAATTTTGGTAGAGGCACTCTTGCTCATTATAACTATGTACTGAATTAGTTTATTTAATACCCAGGACCAGAGAAGAAGATTTTCAAAGAAATAATGCATTTTCACTATATACTTATTTAGCCCCACCCTAGCACAAGTACCCCTGACCCCAGGGCCATGAATTTCACAATTTTGGTAAAGGACTCAATGCTGATTACAATCATGCAAAAAGTTTGACTTCTTGATGTCCAGGAGTAAAGAAGATTTTTAAAAATTGCATTAATTTTAGTGGTATTGGCCCCCACCCCCAGGCCCCAGGGGGTAGGGATCATGAAATTCACTGTTTTTGTTCGCCTTCACCCAAAGATGCTTTGTGCCAAATTTAATTGAAATTGGTTCAGTGGTTGCAGAGGAGAAGTTTAAAATCTTCAAATGTTAACACACGACGGACGACACACGACGACGGACGGAAACAGATGGCAATAGGTCACCTGAGTATACTCAGGGGACCTCAAAAGATGAACAAAAAATTATAGAAAGAAAAAAAATTAATTCATACCTCTCTCACAGTCAACATTTAAAAAAGAATGATTCATCCCCCCTTTCCAGCCCAACCACCACCGTAGTTGACCTTTCACCCACAGACAATTATTTCAGCCAAACCTTTCCCCTGGCCCATCCTAAGATATAATCTCCACCTTAAAAGTGGTTTATTTATCCTTCCATGGTTCACATTTAACTCTCTCCCATAGCCTTAAATAAAAGATGTTTTGTCCATCCCCTTCCTCCAGCCTGCTTTAATATCAATTGGTTCGATGTTTTATCATGTTTATGAGATTAGATGATTAATGGATAAATGCTTATCCTATGTAACATTAGAATTACCGGTAGCAGATTTTATGCCATATGATAGAGAACAACTTAATCTAAATGGCGCATTTTATAATACTGAATACTTTTAAATTGAGAAATACAATGTACTGTTATTGAGCTATGCTTAATTCATCACTTTATTATTATGAAAAATGTCTTTGGATGTATACATGTATATAAACCATTGTTTGTTTAGGAATACTGTAAGTCCAAGACCCACTACAGCTTTGTGGAGGCCCTCATAAGGAGAGTAAGAAGACTATTGAGGCTCAGCACGGGGAGCAAAAACAGGCACAGGTGGCTCGCTGTATTGAAATGATTGCTGTCTATAAAATTTGATATGACTTTTTAATGCTAAATTCTACTGACTATAATTATGGATTTATTGAGCAGATATTGCATGGAACTTGACCTTTTAATATCTGTTGAAATTATTTTTGTCCATGAAATTCAAGATGTATGTGAATTAAAAATAAAATGAAAACATCTACAATGAAAAGTTTCTGAATCAGATATCTTGTGATTGTTTTGGGATTACAATATACACAGTCAAACCCTGCATTTAACGAAACATCAATGCTATACTTTACAGGATGGGGTGGCATGGTATTTTGTTAATGTTTCATTACAATGTTGGTGTTTTATTAATGTTTCATTACACTCTGCAGAATGAAATTGCATTTTGAAAGTGTTTCATTATACTTGTCTGCATCAAATTAATATTTTGTTAGCATTTCATTTGATTAACAGACATGTTTAGGGTTGACTTATCTAAGAGCAGTAAAATCTTCCAAGAACGACTTATCTATTTATATCCTGTGTTACTAGTTTTGCGCCAATTTTCAAAACACCAGCACTAGGTCAGAGAGAAACATAGAGATTGGTGAAGGGACATGTAAAGTGTTAGTATATATATTGATCCCTGATTGGAAAAAGCAAAATCAGGATGAATCTGGACATAACAGAGGTATTTATTTATTGCATGACATAAAGTTCTTTAACTGGACTACAGTTAAACCTTCAATCTGTGAATGTGGATGTGTATATGGCCTGTTTTTATTGGGTTTTTGTTCATTTTAAGATTGACCTTTAATACTACCCAGCTTAGATCAGTTTTAAGCACTGGGTTAAATGAATTATAATTATACTTGAAAATTCTGTGAAAATGTATGTGAATGGAGAAATGGTCAATGGATTGAGAATTATATCTCTTACACCAAAGGATTTCACTGCAGAGAATGATCGATATAAGAGAGTGATCATTAATCGAACTTGGTGTTTTTAAATGTTGGAATGGTGTGCTATTGTCTATTGAACATGAATAATGTCAAACCTGGAATTCAAAATACTGTGAAACAAGATGTTAATAATGTTTCAATATGAGACTGTGTTTAGATGTTTTCAAAGACTTGTGAATTTGCTAATTATAATTTTAAAAATTCAAATTTAGTGGTTTATTGATGATTTGTTACTTATGCTTTGTTAGTATTTTGTTAGAGTGTTTTGTTAGCCTCATTTGCATGTGATTTTCTATACTAATGGAATACTATCAAAACACAGTGTTTTGTTAGTAGTTTGTTAGAGTGTTTCGTAAGTATTTTGTTAAAGCATTTTGTTAGTAGTTTGTTAGAGTGTTTTCAAAGTAACTTGTTATAGTGTTTTGTTAGCTCATTTGCATGTGATTTGCTATACTATCAAAACACTTTCAAAACATATGTTTTGTAAGTAGTTTGTTATAGTATTTTGTTTCCCCCTTTTTTTCATTTGGGCTAGGCGATGATTTAGTCCTCAAAATTGTGTAATTATCCCTGAAAACGTCTTTTTTACAAAATCCATGATGGCAACGATAATTGATGAAACCACAGGAAATAGTATTTTCATGAGATATTGAAAGTTTCTTCTAATGTTGGGTATTTATTGAGCAGTCGTTTCAAAATTGTTTATGAATTATAATTTATAATTTATACCTTATTGATAATATTATTTTTAAAATTATTTTACACAAACATATTAACTCGAGAAAGTGAACCTGAATCAAACTATATATTCTTGTGATTTTGGAAAAAATCTCTCTCACAAATAATTTAAGTCATTATTTAAAATACAATGTTTTACATGTATTTGATTTTCTTCACTCTAACACTGTCCAACTCGGTCACAAAGAGGTTGTCTCTGGTGTCTACACTTAATCCCCATGGAAACTGTAGATCACAGTTATCAATGTAACGGAGGAACTGTCCGTCCTGATCTAGGATGTGGATACAGTGGTTGTGTTGGTCTGCTGTCAGGATCTGACTCTGGCTGTCTGTTGTGATGCCGACTGGATTAAATGATCCCTTGGTAGTAGAGGCATGACCAGTGTATCTAAATCGGAGTTTTCCTGCCTGATTGACCACCACCACTGCTTTGGCTCTATGGTCAGCGACACAGATATCCAAGTTTTTATTCTCACTGATGTATTTACCAGATGAACCAGATGAATACAAAGGTTTACCTTCACTATCAAACTGAATGGTTTGTTTCTCTGTGGAGCCAGAGTAACGGACAACTTTTGATTGTTTATCATTTTCACTGTCCATGGTAACCAATAGGTCACCAGAGGAGGTACTACAGACATTGTAAGGTATCCACCCCTGTAGTCTTGTCACTTCCTGGATCTGTTCATTCTTCACTATGTTTACAGTTTTTGTATTAGGGTCAGTATAAACTAGGTCTCCACTCCTTGTCACTGCTATGTCCTGTGGCCAGTTCCCTGACTTGGTTTGGATTGACTTCAGTAGTTTACCCTGGAGGTTGTAGAGTTTCATGATTTCGTCATCTCCACATGTCCAGATTTCTTCATCACTGAGACAAGTAACATTGTATAGTGAGTTTTTATACCCAGTGTCTATGGTGGTGATGAGCTCTGGTTCATCAAGCAGTGGTTTGACTGGAGGACAGGATACAGCCTCTGGTGTCTTCATTGTGTAGCCATGTTCTTCTGTTGTAATGGATAATCCTGACAGAGAACCAAACATTTGATGGAGCTGTTCTGTGTTGATCTGGTGAGGAGAATAACTTGGTAATGACACATTGACTTTAGGAGGTAAACTTCTGAATTCAGCATTTCTAGATTTGTACCCAGAGGTTAGGGAGACATCATTGGAGTCCAGTAATTTCTTCAGATCAAATATGCTCTGTTTTACTTCAGAAGTAATCTGTTTGATTTCTTTTTCCTGTTTATTTACAGCAGCCAGGTGTTTAGTTTTCATCTCATCAATTTCAGATTTCTGTTTGTTGACAATGATATTAATTTCTCTGTGCCAGTCTTCTCCTTGTTTGGTGACAGCTGATGTCAGTTTCCCATAATGTTTTTCCAACTTTACTTTTTCAGAGTATAGATATGATGAAATTTCTTCATAAGTAGGTAATATTCTTCTTTCTAGTTCTTTCAGATCCGTCTTGAAAATTTCTTTCATAAAATTTGGTTTCTGCAAGATATCTTTGAATTCATGACCATGATGTTTACCCGAGGAGATGCAGGTAGAACAGACAGGGATGTCACATTTCTCACAGTAAAGTTCACAATGTTTCTCGGTGTGATTTGGACATTTTGGGTAGTTAAGGTTAGGAGTAGTAGTTCTGTGTTTGTATGGAACAACTTTGTGTCTTTTAGATGAATCAGACAGATGCTCCCCTACACAAGCCTTACACAGGTTAATCTGACAAAGTTCACAATGGCTCTGTAATGCAGCTGTTTGACAAACGTCACAGAGGAGGAGTACTTGAGCTCTGTCCAGGGGGTCCATCACTGGGGGCATGGGTCACTGACTACAGAAATATTAAACAATTTTGAATAAATACAATATATTAGAGTTGTTTTGTTAGAGAAATTGTTAGACAGTGTAGGTTTAGAAATAACAGGAAGGATCTATTTGTAGCGTATTGGCGTGTTGGCATGTAAACTTTTCTTATTTTTGATTTTAAAAAATCTGGAAATTTTTTTAGTCAAAACAGTTTATGTAGTTAATAAATATAATTTATCTAATCTATCTAAAGTGGCCCTCTCATGCAATTTATCTTATATATTATACGTACTATTGTACTAAACTTGAGATCAATAATGATATCTGGAAATGTTTTGCAGCAAGTTAAATTTTCTTAATATAATCTAGCCTCACCTAAATCCAACATGGCCTCCCTGATAATCCCGTACATCACAATTTACTTCCTTGTCTTTGTTCTAAATATTTATCTGTTACCAGGTCACATGATTTAAATACCTCAGCTATCTATTTATCAACCTCTGTAGAGAGTACGATTAAATGAAAATTAAGGGGTGTTATTAACAATAGTTACCGTATATGGTAATTAAACCCATGAAAATGAACTTTAGAGTCATCCTGTCTATCTTTTTATCTCCAACTTTGTATATATCCATCATATTTTTGTCTATGCGAAAAGTCTTTGAAATATTTTCTCCCTTAATTTTGTAGACGTTTATTATAATATGAACTATACACGTGTACATGTACCTGGTATTTTCAGATCAGGTTTTCTAAGTTTAAACGACGGGTGACTTCATGCAACAGTGGTGTAGCATCGTTTTTGAAAGTGAGAGGGGGGAAGCAGCCAGAGGAAATATTTTTTCTTACCTGAAAAAGTTGACAAGCAAATAAAAAATTTGCCCAAAGTATGAAATCCTATTTCGGGGGGGGGGGGGGGGGGGGGCTTTTTTTCAGTGTCAACTACTTTCCGTACCAATTCTAATGCTTCATTTTTGGTACATCACTTAAAAAGGGGGGGGGGGCAACAACCAGGTTTTCCATTTCCATTAACAGTTCCTATAGTAACAGTAAGGTTGGGGAAAAAAGTGGGGGGGGGGGCGCCCCCTGCCCCCCCCCTCCTGTTGCTACGCCCATGTAAAATTAAAGATATGCAAAAATGCGATAAAATAAACTCTCAAAGCAGACATTTTCTTTTAATCTCATCTCATCTAGCTGCAGACCAGTAGCGTTATGAATTTATATATGTGTCTTTTTTTCATAGGCGTAGTCACAGGGGGGCAGCCGGGGCACTACCCCCCCCCCCCACTTTCGGATCGGCGGGGGGGGGGGGGGGGGGGGCAAGAGTATGTCCGTGCCCCCCTCAATTTTTAACGAAGAACAAAGCCTTTGAAGAAAAAGTTGGCTACCCCCCCCCCCCCTACGAAATGCAGATTTTCAGGTTTGGTGAATTTTCCCTTTCTTTTTATTTTTTTATTTTGCTTGTCAAAGAATTTCTGGACTTGAGCCCCCCCCCCCTTTTTAGTTTGTGACTACGCCTTTGTTTTTTGTCCACCTTTCAACCATTTATAGTTGTCTCTTCAGGCAATAAAGAAGAGTCGTTAGAAGTGAATTTTCTGCAATATGACAAATAATTTTAATCAAGCTAGTTTATCACTTGTAGAGACGAGTATAAACGGTTGGGAGGTGTATAAAATATACATATTGGCTACAGAATGTGTCTAGAATTAGG